CAGTTTTTAAAGTAGTAAAATCACAGAGTTCAAATTGTGTTTTGGGAAGGTTCTGATTATCCTCTTTCAATATGGTTTATGTTTTTGGATGTTCTTATAAGCTGCATTCATTTCAAAAGGCATGGTTCAACTGGTTAAAAGCTTTGAGATTGCAAGCAGAGTCCTATCCTATGCAGGTTGGATACATTCACGACCAATTTGACTGTTTTGTGGTATATTTTTGTAATAATCTTATGCCCAATTTAGTCAAAGTGGTTACTCTATTATTTCTACTAGTTATTTAAAAGCTATAGACAGAGAGCAGTGGTGATAAGTTTTTTTGGCAACAGGATTGAAATATTCATCTATTTAGCAGTATCATTCATAAATTTCAAGTGTTTAGAGGTGGGGAGTTGTTGCTATTGTAAAGTTGTAAATTGATAAAATCTTGTCTAAAATGAAAACAGGCAAATGATCTGTATGATATGATTCTGTATAGAACTTTCTTACTTTCTAAAACTTGAGTTGACCAAACGACCAAAGAAAACATGAAACAACAAGGAAATTACCAAGGAAAATGTGAAACGACCAAGAGCCAAGCCGAAAAAATGATCAGGAAACAACCTCAAACTATTTTGTATTGAATTCTAAGCATGCTAATCAGGCCAAATATTTACTTCATTTTTCAAAATTATACATAGTAGTCATCAAACACAGTTTTAGTGGAATTTCAGGAACAACAGACGTCGTCTGATTGAATGTTAAAACTTTGAAGATAGAATGTTACAATTTGTCTATTACACAGTTTTGCGATACTTGTTGCCCCTGTGTTATGATACATGTCTTAAAGTGGAATGATTGCCAAGCTGTGTAATATAAATGAGTACTAGATCACATTCCAAGAAGAGTTAGAGCCACCACAGACGTCTAAGGCCCATCTACACAGTAAAACAGGTTGTATACAACTTTTGTAATATATTTCTTGTCAGTTTACACAGTATATCAAGTTGCATGAATCACTCCCAATTTGTTGACATAAATTCCCGCCAAAATTGAGAATGACCTTTCAAGATTTAAACTTGTGCTCCCATTGGTCAGATATAAAAGTTGGATACAGCTTGCTGTACAGAACATGTGAAATATACTACTCCTGGAAGCTGTATTAATACAGTGTTACAGCCCTGTTTACACAGCAAATTTTGCTTTATAAACCATGGTTGATACAACTTTCTTTACCGTGTAAATGGGCTTTAAATATGTTAACCCCTATTGGTACAGATAACACTGACACAAGGGTCACACTTGTCTATATGTTTTAATTTTATAATAATATTTTTTATTAGATTCATAGTTTCTTTGTTTAATATGACAATTTGACCTTAACATGTATTTTAGGTAATGCTGCACATCAAGGTTTATGACCCTCGTTTAAGATCCTCAAAATTTTGATGCATGGAAGTAAAGGTAGGTTTATTCGATTCATCTGTAACCTCTAGCAGTTTTGAATACTCATTATTGAAAAAGAGCCTAGCTGTCCTGACAAAATTTTCCTCATTGTACAATCGGTAAGACTATGATTGTAAGGCTGAAAACATTGGTTGGAAAAACGCTCATATTATAATGAAAACCTTGTCTGTCCGTTCGCATTTTTATCAAATTTGATGAAACTTGATATGGATGTAGATATTGACGAGATCTCAGTTAATTTCGAAGTCAGTGATAATTGGATGAAAGGTTTCAGAGTCATTGCTGTTGTGTGTACAATGATGGGACCTTGTTCATGATTGAATTTGATTATAATTTGGGTGAACTGTTTTTGAGGTTTTGCCTTGACTTTAAAATATTTTAAAGATAATTTGAAAATTCATTATAAAATCACTAACGACTATCATTTCTGACAGCTGATAGTGGGCGTATGTTACCTTGCCTGGCAAGCTATCTTTGTAAATGTGCCAGTTATGATCGGTTTTGGACGGTTTAATTGATAAGATCGTCGTGTTGTACTTCGTACTTGTATACATGTATTTGTTTTGCAGTTATTGGATACATTGCTGCCAGAGAAATAGCTCGTATGGGAGGTCATGTTATTATTGCTTGTAGAAATATGGGTAAAGCCGATGCGGTAAGATTATTGATTTAATTTAAACTTTCAATTTAAACATAAATGAAATTAAGATGACCACGTAAACACCCATATTTATACCGCTATTTGAAGTGGGTTTGATTTAGACGATTTAGTCTTTTGTTCTGACCAGTGGTGGAGCCAAAGGGGGGCGTGGGGGCAGAGGGTACAGCCCCTCGCAGCCCCAAAGCCAGTTTTTTGGGCAAAAAACTCATAAATAGGTTAGAGATTCGGATGTAAACCTAGCTCCGCCACAGGTTCAGACCACTAAAGTTAAGGCATTTTAACTATCAATCGTTTTTCGAGATGATCTCCAGAAAGTGATAGAAAAAAGAAAGAGTAAATTTATTTTGGAAGATGGTTTGATTAAGCTTCCCGATCCTGTAAAAATACATCAGTCTCAGATGTAGAAGATTATATAAAACTGTGTAAGTATTTAATACTATTGTAGGCCTACTGATATCAGACTCTGGAGACTGAGCCTAATTTCACAACCTTAAACAGATAGATTTTATTATTATTTTAATGTAGAATTGTTCCACTACTGTTCCTTCTGACTTGTATCCAGTATTATTATTTGATTATTATGTTTGTATCATGATTCTATTCATTCTAGTCAAGTAGAATAGACTTCACAATTATTTATGTTTAAGTTAAAACAAAATGGCAATTAACAAAACGTGTGTTGCTCCAAAGAGCACTCATGTGAGTTACAAGATGCCTACAGTAATTGACAGTGTTTGTTTACCTGATTAACATGATTGGGGACTGGGGTATTAAGCAATCAATCACTTCGGTAGATTGATTCACCTCGTATAATAGGTCTCGCCTCTTGGCTTATCTTGTGTGCAAACAGATAAATAACGAACAAAGCAGGTGTGTATAGTTTACACTCATGCAAGTTTGTGATTTGTTTCCTCAATAAACTACTCTATGATGTATTATACATGTATATGTATAAACTGAATTAATTTTACAGGTGTTGAGAACCATAATGTCCCGACGAAAGGATCAAAATCAACAAAAGAAGGAGAAAGTTTATACTTATCTGGACAATACCATCGAATCAGTCCAAATATATCTTACTGCTATGTAAAGGCTTTTGTTGCTCCACAAAAGGCACAGACACAAGCACCATATAGTGTATGGACAGTCCTTCAGAAGAGAACGGGAAAAGTGGAAAGAGCTTACTGCAATTGTCCAGCAGGTCTACGAGGGTATTGCAAACATTGCATTGCCTTGTTGCACCTATTGTTAGGCAAATAGAGTTGGGATGCAACAAAGCATGTACATCCCAAACAAACCACATGTTCAAGGGAAAAGGGTTACATAACCTGACTTTGTAAGAAATCTTGTTGTGAAAAAGGTTAGGCTACAGGTAGATTTGATACTACTCAAGAAGATTTTCAAACTCCTGGAAAAAAGTCTCGATTGACATTTGAACCCAGAGCATTCTGCTACCGCAAGGAAAAAACACTATCTGATTTTGACTTAAATAGGCTAAGAGAGATAACAAGTGGAAATTGTGGGGTACTTTTATATTCTCCAAGATGCAGTGTTGAGCAAAATGCCATTAATCCTGATATTGATAATTTTCAACTACAAAAGTGCACCAACATTAAGTAATTAGGGAGACAGCAATTTGGTGATTTGATATTTCGAATAATGACAAGTGTGAGATAGTATGGTATGAATTTCAAAAAGTTCCTATGACGGCTATGCCTTTTAATTTGCTGATAACTTTTGTAAGTTTCAGCTTCCATAACAAAAAAATTATGTCTTAAATGGGCCACAGTACAAAGACTTTAATTGAAAGAATTCTTATGTGTATTTGTCATAAAAAAAGTTTTTAAGTTATTTTAACAATATTTAAGTTATAAATAACTCAGATTTGCCTAGACAATTCGACCCGATCCGACCCGAATCTGTATGCTAGTTGAATGTGTACGCTAAGTTCAGCCTGGTCGGAAGTTATTAAATGTGCCGGTTGCATGTAAAATATAATGATGTACTTTTTCAAGAAAATTAAACATAAAACTTGCTTATTTGTTTCCAACCACTTTTCAAAGTCAATATTTATTTTAAAAGGGAAACAATTGGTTTTATATGAAGATTGTCTTTCTAAAACCACTTAGCTGAAAAAAAAACTCTAATAGTCCATCACTACATTTTAGGCAAGACATTATTTATCTTTGATCACGTGACCAGAAATGGCCGACTTCTCGTCAATTAATTTTGCACGAACTAAAGATTCTTTTTGTTTTTCCATCTTTGACAGTTCGTATTACGATATCATATCTAACTGCTTTGCTGCATCTTATACTTGACTTTACTTTTCACAAGAAGTCATGTGAAATCGTTCAAAGATTCAACAAGAAATTCACTGTTCAATGTTCTTGTTTTCCTTTTTAGCTCTAGCTCTGTGGACTAAAGTCAAGACTTTACAGTTCAAGTTCAATACTTCATAATCATGCCATATCCTCAATCCAAATCAAGAGTTGCTCTGTCAGTTCCATGTCAATGCCTTTTTCCTTCCCAGACTCAGTCTTGCCCCCATAAATGGCATGTTATTTATTGGAAATGCCACATAACAATATTTAGCTACTGCCACTAGTAACCTATCAAATTATTCAGAACTAGGACAGCAAGGGTTTTGGTCAAGGTAGATTTTACGTGTAGATTGTGCATGTTAAAGGTCTTTCGGCCTTCAAACTGAAAGAGTTGTCATGGATTCACCCCATTGCACACAGCATGGCATTGCTCGTCTTCATTAAGTAAAAATTTCAAAGTCCATTTCATTTATTTTTCAGAGAATATACAAGAAATGAGCCTGCTTTGAAAGTAATCTGATATACTACGACTGACATATTAGCTTATCATATTGTTCTACATATTCAAAATGTCGACAACTACACAGATGCTGCTACAGTTTGTAGCTGGGTTAAAAAATCGGAATGAAGAAGTTAGGAATAAGACTGTCAATGAGTTACATCATTTTGTCAGTACAGAGCTAAGGGAGATGCCAGTTGAGGAACACATGGCTTTCATGGATGATTTCAACCATCATATTTTTGAAATGGTGTCCAGTTCTGATTTGAATGAAAAGAAAGGAGGGATTCTTGCTATAGGTTTGTTATAGTAGTAATATTCTTTTACACCTACATCTATATATTGATAAATATTAACAGAACCTTTTTCACGATATGCCAGAAATGAATTAGTACTGGGGCTCAGATTTTGTTCTCACAAAATTTGAAGAATTGATGATGGATCATTTCTGACAATTTTGAGGTGCCAAAAACGTATCAAAATCTATCTTTTTGGTTTTTGTACAAAGTCACTGTAAATGAATCAGTCTCTGCTGAACTGAAGAAGGTTTTGCCTGGGGCTTAATTCTCACTTGCTGGGTCCCAGCCCTCACGGACCCCACTCTAAAGACAGGGGCTGGATAGGCCTTTATGATAGATTATTATAGATTTTATCCAATCAATACAAAGATGACAAGAGCTTCAACCTTTTCCTGCTTCTGCAGTTTTCAAAAGATTTCCGCTTAGATATTTATTTTTCGTTTTTTCTTAGCTACATTAAGTGGAGTAGATGTAGGAAACACATCAACTAGAGTTACAAGATTCACTAATTATCTACGGAATATGCTTCCTTCAAATGAAGTCAGTGTTATGGAGATGGCTGCCATGGCTGTTGGCAACCTGGCATTACTTTCAGGAACTCATGCTGCAGAATATATAGAGTTTGAGGTGAAAAGAGCATTGGAATGGTTGTCTGAGGAACGTAATGAAGGAAAAAGAATGGCTGCAGTAAGTTTTACTCAATTTTTTTATCCATTTAAATTTTTTTGAGATTGTTCTTGAGATCCTTTCCATTTTTCTGAATGTGACAAAAAAGTAACCTTGACTTGCTCAGAAAAAAACAACAAAATACAACATAAAATTTCTTTTTTTCAAAACTAATTATTCCCTTAATATAAACTGATGTTTGTTATCTTATTTTATCAGGTGTTGGTGTTAAAAGAACTTGCAGTGAATACTCCAACTTTCTTCTTTCAACAAATTCAACAATTCTTCGATTGTATATTTGATGCCATAAGAGACTTAAAGGTTAGTCTTATGCCCCAAATAGATTTTCTTTTTTCTAATATGCCTTCAAGTTGAGAACTGAAAAGCTGCTATGAAAAGCTGGGAAATATTAAGATTCTTTGTGCTATGACAGTGAAATTCTATTGACTACTGATTAAGTCACCTTTCATCACAAGCTCCAATTCTTAGATGTATCTATATTCCTTTGAACTGTTTTTCCTGTTACATGACTAATGTATTGCTGTAGTTTAGAATTTGTGCATTTTAAGTTCCTAATATAAATTATATTTTGTTTATAAATTTAGCCGTCTGTGAGAGAAGCTGCAGTATCAGCACTACAAGCTGCTCTTACTGTCACATCACAACGAGAAACGAAGGAGACACAACGATCACAGTGGTATAAGGTAAAGAAACTTGTTCACTGACTTCAGTTCTTTAAATAGGCATTTTCACTTAGATTTCACTAAGGTCTGAATGCATTGGATATATTGTTATTGGTAAGGAAATTGAATTTTATTGGATACTTTACAAGATTGTGAAGATATTTTTACCAAGGAAAATGCTTTTGAGACAATAGTTTTCATTGGCCAGAATATCTCTTAAAGGGAACCAGATTGTTACAGTAGACACTTAATTGTTTTGGCAAGGAAGTCAAGTTTTTAAAAGAGCTGGGTCCAATTTATCACAAATCTAAAGAATTTGCTGTGAGTGTAGAATTTAACATTGAGAAATACAATACGTACCTCAAAATTGATCCTTAGATGTATTTGTGAGACAAAACCTAGTTTATTATTCCATTTTCAGCAATGTTTTGACGAAGCTTTGAAAGTAGCTGATGACGTCACATTACGAGAACATAAAATGACGCGAGATGATTGGATGCATGGATCACTACTGATTATTAACGAACTTTTACGTTGTAGTAACGTGGAAGGAGAGGTGAGTTAAACTAGATTTTGACTTTGAAACAGCACTGATTACTATCAGAGTCATCAAATTATCGCTTTAAGGTTTCAAGGGGTCACAAGTTCCAATTTTACTCTCGGGCCAGTTGACCAATATCAAGAGCTGCAGAGAGTCCAATGGGTCAGTGAGTTATACACTTGCTTGCTAATCTGAAGGTCAAGTGATCAATCCTAGCATAGGTTGAGATAAACCTTTGAATTATTCAACCTAGTTTCCTGTTGTCAGTGATATAGGTTGGAGGGGCTAACAGCTAAAAAGTGTCTAGGTGTTCAAATGGGCGATAAATCAAGACCTTGTGTGCTGTAAGCTGATATCCCTTTATAATTTTCACTAAATTCAATGTAGAAAAATATTCTAACCATTTTTAGAAAGCAAGAGTTGAGATGGAAGAGATAACAAATCAACAGAATATTCATGAGACCAGTCTGAGGGTAGGTTCATTATACTAATCATTTTACCCCTCAGTACCTTGGGAGCCACGGTGGCTCAGTGAATAAGACGCTTGCTCACTTACCTGATGGTTCAGGGTTCAATCCAGATATAGTTTAAGATAATACCTTGTGGCTGACATGGAAAAAGTGTTTAATCAATCAGAGTATCCAAATGACTGAGGCCCTTAGTGCTACAGGCTGTACATGTTAAAGATCCCTCAAAAGTAGGCATATGCCACTGTCCTGGCAAAATTCCTTCATTGTACATGGTATTGCCTATCTTCATTACCCTAACAGCTGCAGGAAAATAGAAAGTAAAATTACATTTCCAGGAACTCTATGGAAGCAAGTCCAAAAGTCATCTTCACCATGGATCATATCAACATATTCAGAATAAATCAAAGGCGTTATTAATGACAATACGAACTGGTACAACTGGATATAGAAACTTGTCACCAGGAAATAATCTTTTTGAAAGTAAAACATGTAAAATGTTAATCAACAATAACTTTGATAAGGTTTGTTAAGACTTTTACTGGCTTTATAAAAAAGTTGCTGAGTTGACTAGCTAAGTTTACTATAACAAAGGCCCTTAGATATTATTAGCAACTTTTGCAATAAGGAGGTAATAGAATAATTAGTTTTAGTGGAATTACAAGAACAACAGAATTTGATGTAGTGCAAATTGATGCTAGCAGTGTATCAGATACACCTCTTTACAAGTTCCAGATTTCCGTATTAATACAGATTTTCATTTAAAGGTATGTAATCTTGTGTTGAGACATCGTGGAAGTAAAAGTGGTTTTATACAGACAACAATGTTAATGGTATTACCTAGACTAGCTTCATTTAATCCTACTGTTTTCTCTAGAATGTAAGTTAACACTGTATAGCTCACAGCCAAAAGTATGTGGCCCTTACTTTAAGTTACCATCAATCTGATTAAGATGCAAACTTACATGATGTGTTTCTGCAGGTTATAATACTTGCTGTCCATGATCTATTTAAATTCTTAACAGTAACTGCAAAAATAAGAGGCTTATTAGCATAATGGCTACAAATGTCCTTAATCTTCAATGTGAAAATAGACATTGTATTTTCTATATTTGAAACAATGTCCGTCACATCACAAACCAAACTTTCATTCAAAAAGTGATATTTTTTTTAATTTATTTTTTTTATAGATATTTAGCAGATACTATAAACTTTCTACTAGTGATTTTAAAAAGGGATAAAGATAGAACCCAGGCGTTTCAAGCTATAGGATTACTAGCTATTTCAGTCAATGAGGAAATTTTCCGACTACTGCCAAGAATTATGGAAATTATACGAGCTTCACTACCACCAAAAGATATCTCTTCAAAGTAAGTCACTGAATTCCTGAAAATCCAAAAGCTGAGATTAATTTTGATGATTTTTTTCAGAAGAGGAATATGGTACTTAATGAAGGGTTGTAGTACAGTCTGTGAGAGCTTTGAAATCTGTATATTGGTTACATTCAACAGCTGGTGTTCATCATGAAGGTCCAGTTCAGAGTTATCTTTCTTATCTTATTTCATTTAACCTCCCATTTTTCTTTATTTTGTATATCCTGTGAATGGTATAGATTATTTAACTAAGATTTTTAGTCATTCAACTTATCTTTGTATTTCAGAAAGCATCGTAATTTTGTGGTGGATCCTGCAGTATTTACGTGTATTAGTATGCTAGCTAGGGCCGTCGGGTCCAATATTACTAGAGATATACGAGATTTATTAGATTCTATGCTGGCAACTGGACTTAGGTTCGTACTATTTCTTTGTTATATTGAAACATATTATAAATATATATAGCAATTTTGGGCATGTAGGATGAATACTTTTTTTTTTCATTTCAGCCCTGCCCTTACTGCTGCATTAAGAGACATAGCTAAACAGATACCACAGTTAAAGAAAGAGATACAAGATGGTTTATTAAAGAGTTTATCTATGATATTAATGGGTAGATCTTTAAAACATCCTGGTGCTCCTAAAACCCCAGCATCTCCCCTCCCTCCTACAGGTAATATTAGTTTATCATTTATTCATTTCATTCTTTCATTATTTCATTATTTCATTATTTCATTCATTCATTCATTCATTCATTCATTCATTCATTTCAGCATCAGGAGGTATATTAACAGAATCACATGATGTAACAGGAATCACTCTTGCTTTAAGAACTTTGGGAAGTTTTGATTTTGAAGGTAAGAATTTTATACTAAAACTTAATTTTTTTTCACTGTTCCATTAAATTTAATTATGTTTCTTTTATTTTTTATTCTGTAATCTAACAAGTTATCTACCACAGTCCTGTTCTAGTGATGATATTTATTTTTAACCAATCAAAGCATGTAAAAGCTGACAATAATGAATGAGAGCAGTATGATAGTCTCTTTGGGTTTCGCTATTTATCAATTCATCATTGTTATCAAGGAACAGGTCCTATATTAAATACTTTGATTGGTTAAAAATAATGTTATTAGAACTTTACTGTGGTAGAAAATTGTTAGATTACATTGGAGATGTCAAATATCAGAGAAAAAAAAGAAACAAAAGGAACTGATTTTGGTGTTTCCTTCCAGGTCACTCTCTAACTCAGTTTGTACGACATTGTGCTGATCAGTATCTCTCTAGCGAACATAAAGAGATACGACTAGAAGCTGTTCAAACTTGTGCTGGACTGTTAACACCTCTACTAGTGGTACGTTCAAAATTATTTTTGTTTGACAGTCAACTGCCAACTGACTGAATGCAGTCTTGCTTAGGGAAAATATAAATTTTACGTAGATGAAATAATATAATAATATAACGAAGACAATTTTTGCCATGAAGTTTTGAGTCAAATGTTTATGTGACTTTATAATTTTACAGTTATTATCAACCAATCAAGAACAAGTTAGTATGGCTGCCATGACAACAGTAGCAGACGTATTAAATAAATTGTTGGTAGTTGGTATTACAGATTCAGGTTTGTTTCTTCATTATTTGTCATAAAACAGGAATGTTTATTTTATTTCTCTCCTGTTTATATTGTTACCTAATTTTCGGGGACCTTCATTCTTCTCAGAATAGACTTACCTAATTATATAATGTATTTTGTAGATCCTGATATAAGACTATGTGTGTTGGACTCATTAGATGAAAGGTTTGATCCTCATCTAGCACAAGCTGAAAACGTCAGTGCTTTGTTTGTAGCCTTGAACGATGAGGCTTTTGAAATAAGAGAACGAGCTATATGTATGATAGGAAGATTATCCAGTAAAAATCCAGCTTACGTCATGCCGTCTTTACGTAAAGTGTTGATTCAGGTATGTCCAATTAACCTAATAAAGCAGTTGAATTGAATTTTCTCTGTGTTAATCCCTTAGCTTTGAAATGTCATAAATATATCCATAAAAGTATGGCTTCCCACTGTCAGAGATACAGGTTGACTCTGTTGATTACAATCTCAGCCACAGATTGTTCTGGGAGATCTTTTCTTACTTGTACATTTCATTTATGAACTCCATAACAGAATGATATTTCGTTGATTTTTCTTCGTTATGTTATTTTCCGATTAATTTTCTTGATTGAATTCATGAAAATGAGGATGTTATTGTTTTAGATTTTAACGGAGTTAGAATATAGTGGTATAGGTAGAAATAAAGAACAAGCTGCCAGACTATTAGGACATTTAGTGGCTAATGCTGCTAGATTGATTAGACCTTATATGGAGCCCATTTTAAAGGTTGGTACAATTTTTCTGTTAATTAGAGTAAGATTGCTCATTGTGCACTGCGTAGCTTTGCTATTATTCACCCGCTCAATAATGTATAAAAAAAGTCAAGTATTAAAAGAAGTATTAGTAACTATTAAGTTATAAAGTATAGAAACAATTATAAGCCCTGTAAAGTATAAAATCTAGGATAAGACCAACTGTATAAAAAAGTAAAACTCCTAATTGATGTTTTTATCTGTACAGGTGCTGATTCCAAAATTAAAGAATCCAGACCCCAATCCTAATGTTACTATCAGTGTCTTAACAGCTATTGGAGAACAAGCTTTGGTAAGTATAAAAGTTTTGCCATCTTCGCTGTGTTAGCGAACTGGTCCCCCATTCCATCTAAAGCTTCTCTCTTAAGGGACCAGTTTGGAGCCACCTTGGCATTGATGAGATGAAATCAAATCCCTTGATGCACCTAGCCTGAAAGGTGACTGCGACAGTTAGGACGTAAATGTATGCTTATTTATGCATGCTAGTGTAAATGGTTAAGTGAGGCTCAGCGTACAATTTTCAGTGTATATATACTATCTATAGTATCTGGAATATTTTTTAAACGTCTTTGTGTAGGTGAGTGGAACGGAGATGAAGAAATGGATGGATGAATTATTACCTATTATTCTGGACATGTTACAAGATTCTACATCTATACAAAAACGTGAGGTTAGTTAGACATAGTGGCCAGCAAAATACCATCGCCCTTGTCTGTCTATTGGTCTGTCCATCCCTTGTCTTGTGAACTTAACTGAAGGTTCAATCCCCATGTCTGTGATGCAAATTGAAGGTGCTGACATATAAGTGCTGTGTATTAGTTGGTATGGGACATTCAATGGAAACCATGCATTTCAAAGAGTCTATTGTTATTAGCTTGACAAAATTTACCTTCATTGACCCAAATGAAGCAGAAAAGTTGGATCTAAATTTTATTTTTACAGATTTCACTATGGACATTAGGTCAGTTGATAGAGACTACTGGTTGTGTTGTTGTACCATATCAAAAATATCCCACATTACTAGAGGTTTTACTGAACTTCTTAAAAACAGAGCAAACACCAGGCATCAGACGAGAGGTGAGTATTCATCTTTAATTTACTACAGCTCATACTACAGAGACATGTTTAGGATATATAATCTTCATCGGTCTTCCCTTTCTTAAAAAATTTTATGGTCTTTTTTTTTGCTAGTTCAACAGACAAATTGTGACGTCCAAAATCGATTTCATTTCAATTTCAATTTCATATTCCATTTCATTTCATATTCTTTTCCATTTCATTTCATATTTCATTTCAATTTCATTTTATTTTTAAGGGATGTGTTTGTTTGTATTGCAGGTGATCAGAGTTCTTGGGTTGATTGGTGCTCTTGATCCACACAAACATAAAATGAACATTGGATTAATCTCAGAAAGAGAATCAGCTATCAGTAAATCTGATAATAAAACTAATGGAGACAGTAATCAAGGTGAGCATTTAGTCGAGGGTTTGCCCAAACTGTAGCAGGAAATTTGATTCTAGATAGAATTGCATAAAGATGCCATCTTTTCAATTGATGGAGAAGTTGAATTTAAATCGAACATTGATTTAACCTATTCTATTTTTAGATTTGAATACCAGTGAAATGCTAGCAAGCATGAGTGCTACCTCCACTTTAGAAGAGTTCTACCCTGCTATAACTGTAGCTAATTTGATGAAGATATTACGTGACCCGTCGCTATCAGAACATCACACCATGGTGGTTCAAGCCACCACCTTCATCTTTAAGTCACTACGTATCAAATGTGTACCATATATACCACAAGTCATACCATCCTTTCTGACTGTTATACGCAATGCCGAGGCTAGTTTCAGAGAGGTATGTCCTTCTTCACTTGCTGCTTTTCAATAAGATCATTTGCTTTGACCATAATTACAAAGCCCTTTAAGGAAAGTTGACCCCTATTTTCCCAGGTTAGCTGTCCTGTCTCTGGGCTCTTTTCAGAACTTTTGCTAAGCTGACCATATGTCCCAGGACCTTTATTACTATTGGTAGTTTGCCCAATGAGGACAATGCACCCAAAACACATGTCATAGGATGAGCTCTAGATATTTAGATTTTAGATTTTATTTAAAAAAAGATTCCCGAAGACCTTGGATGTTCAAATGAACCATATTTGTAATTGTATTATAATATTGTGGTCTTAAATTGTAACAGTTAATCAAGAGTTATCTCCCATAGAAGAGCAGTTGAGATGCCTGAATAAAACTTTTTTTTCCAGTATTTATTTCAACAACTAGGGGCTATAATATCAGTAGTAAAACAACATATTAAAAATTATTTAGAAGATATTTTTACTATTGTTAAGGTAGGTAATGCTGCTTCTTTACAAACTGAATAAGGACTTCCATTAGATATATTGAGGTAGTAGTATTTTAGGCGAGGGCCTTCTTTACTTCATTATGATATATTTTGGGGATCTGAAAAATAAAGGTGGCAGCTTCCTCTTCCTTTTCCTTAGGAAAACTAAAAACAAATAAGAATTTTGCTTGGTGGAACGATGTCATAAGATTTAAACACAATTAGCCAGTTGACTACAACCCCCCCTAAATCTAGTCTTTGTAATTTCAGGACTTCTGGACACCAAGCAGCACGATGCAGAGTACAATAATAAGATTGATAGAACATATTGTAGGAGCTCTTGGTACAGAGTTCCGAGTCTATCTTCCCCAGATTATACCACAGATGTTACGTGTCTTCATGCATGATACCAGTTCTGATAGAGTTGTTACTGCAGAGGTTAGTTGGTCTTTGAGTTAGTTTGGCCTTTTTACATGCCTGCTTAGTGATTGGACTTATCAGTTTAGATTTGCATTTCATGAAATTCTGTAGCAATTGAAAATTAAAGATTAAAGATAGATTTTGCCAATGAAGTCCGTGTGTCACAAGAAAGATAACAAACATGTTTAACGCACATATGGAATCATATTTGACGCATGACGGATCCGCAAGGGCCATTTATGTCTGCATGACGCGTATATGGAATCTTAGCTTAACACTCGTCTGAATCCTCTTTATTAATTTCTCCAGTTATTAGATGCCCTGCAGTTATTTGGAGCTAATTTAGATGATTATCTTCATTTATTATTACCACCTGTCATTAAACTCTTTGATTCACCTGAAATACCCATGGCAGTCAGAAAGTAAGTATGTCAGTTCCTTTAGTTTACAATACCCGGCCTGTCTTCTAGCTTTTACTTGGTCAGCATTGATCGTTCTTAGGAGTATCTGTTCTCATTTACAGCTGGGTTGATGGAATTATAAGGAAAGATGGTTTATTTTAAAATCATTTTTTTCCTGAAATCCTAAATACAATGGACTTGTCCTTATTTTATCAGTACTTTCATAGATATTTTCATAATTCTTAGGAGACGTAACTTTAGTCATTGATCCATGTTAGCCTCCAAGAATATATCTTCTGGTTGGCCCTGTGGCTCCCTAACATCAAATAGAATAACACGTATCTCATGGTCTATATTTATTTTGCAGGTCATCCTTGGAGACAATAGATAGATTAACAGATAATCTGGATTTAACAGACTACGCTTCCAAGCTAATCCATCCTCTAGCTAGAATACTGGACTCGACTCCAGCCTTACATGGCACAGCAATGAACACTCTCTGCGCTTTGGTTGTTCAACTGGGACATAAGTTTATGATATTTGTACCCATGATGAATAAAGTTTTACATAAACAACGCATCAGTCATCAACGCTATAGTGTTTTAATGACCAAATTATTACGGGTAAGTTTTGATTTATATAGGTGGTCCTTGGCCAAACCTTTCGACTTCTCTAGAATATCTGCAACCATTTACTTCTGGGTCGATAATGAAGAAAGATGACTTATATAAGGTATCCAGATTTTTATAGGTCAACTGAGATTAGAACCCATGACCACCATCATGTTCTTGGCATTGATCTCCAGGATTATCTGTTCCCATTTACAGCTGGTCGACTGGTATACTGGGGAAAGATGATTTATTTTAAATCACCAGACTGTCACTTGCTGACTGAAATAAGAACCCACTACCACCATTGTTTTATGTAATCAAGCAGATGACAAGATGTAAAGATTCCATCACTCTTACCAAGTGTGCTACAACCCACCCTTTTTAAACTGTATAGATATTGATGTGTGTATTTCAGGGTACAACTATCTCTGATGAAGATTTAGATATACACTCTATGAAACATCGTAGAAACAGAAGTAAAGCCAATAAGATAGCTGAATCAGCATCCAGTGATACAGCAGCCATCAAAAAACTTAGTGTTAAATTTGATCATTTGAAAAAGGTAAGTTATCTTTATGCTGGGTTTGGATGGTTATGAAAGTGGGGCTCTTGTTCAATGTTTTGGCTGTTTTCAGTGATAGAGATGGACAGTTCTTTAGGATAGGATAATAAACACAGGTAGATTATGGTATGTGGATGTTCTGACAATCTCTTCCATTGCACACTGCATGGTGTGGTTCATCCCAGCTTTATATACAATAAAAAAAGAAATTGTCAATCTTCAGTAGGGAAGAAGGCTGAAATTGGTCTGCTGTCTGAAGATCTCTACTTGTCAATCTTCGGTAGGGACAGTCACTGAAATAGATCAGTTCTCTGGAGAATGCACATTGAAAGGTCTGTAACAACATTTTTCAGGTTTATATATGTAATAATTGTTATATTTTGTAGGCGCTGGCAGCAGGTAGACGTGTATCTAAAGAAGACTGGATGGAATGGCTACGGAAATTATCTATTGCCTTGTTAAAAGAGTCGTCTTCTCCTGCCTTAAGATCATGTTTTGTTTTAGCTCAAACATATAATCCACTAGCCAGGTATGTTTGACGACTTCACTATTGAATTAGGGAGCCACGGTGGCTTAGTGAGTTAGACGTTTGCTTGCTAGCCTAAAGGTTCAGGGTTTAATAATAGTTTGGGTTGGATTTTTCAAACCTGTTCCCCCTGTCAGTGATGCAGGTAGGAGGGGCTGACATAGGTCATTGGGATGGGACAATAGACGGATGCCATGTTTACTTCAACCTGGCAAAATTTCCCTCACTGCTCACTGAATAACATTGTCTGTCCTATAGAAATGCAACCTGTTTGAGCAATTATGGATAAATTTTATAAAATTGTATTTTTCTAGAGACCTGTTTAACGCAGCCTTTGTCTCATGCTGGACTGAACTAACTGAGTGTCAACAAGATGAGCTGATTGACAGATTGAAACAGGCCCTGAATTCACAGGAAATTACTGAAATAACTCAAACTCTACTGAATTTAGCTGAATTTATGGAACATTGTGACAAGGTATGGCATCAGTTTGGTCCAAGACAGTTCCCTTTTGTGAGCCAGTAAGAACAGCTTAAAGGTATTGTACGCCTTACACTGAGATAAAGTTTAGATTCTTAAACTTGGTCAATAACTGAATATATTCATCAGTGGACTTACCTGGTGTCATAACTATACAAAAATATTTCCTCTTGTTATTTTTAGGGTCCTCTGCCATTAGATAGCAGTCTGCTGGGAGACAGAGCTATGACATGTAGAGCCTATGCTAAAGCTCTGCATTATAAAGAAGAACAGTTTCACAATAATAAAGATGATAAAACAGAAATTTTAGATGCTCTTATTAGGTAAGATAGAATTTCTTTTAATACTGAATATTCTTAATAGGGCAAGAAAATTACTCAAGAACAAAGCTAATTCAATTTGTAAGGATGTAGCTGTCTAAAGTTTGTTTTGCCAGCTGAAATAGCTCATTCTCAGTTATCTGTATCACTTTTCAGAGTTGAAATTTGCCATTCTGTTCATTTACAATTTAATAAAGCCTATTATGGAAATAATCAGCATTCTTCCATGGAGATATCACTTTATCTACTATAGGCAATGGAAACTTAAACTAACTTTTTCAATATGTTTTTTAATGTTAGACAAACCAAAGATTTTTTATGTAGAAAAGTGTTAAGGGTAGCTCAATTAGATGTTAAAATTGATATATTCCCACACTTGATGATACAGTGAGATATATGGCTTTTTTTCAGTATCAACAATAAACTACAACATTCTGAAGCTGCTGCAGGAGTATTGTCTTACGCCAAGAAACACAGTAATGATCTGGTACGTACTGAAAACACTGGAGATACCTTGTGTTCTACCTCAAATTCTTCAAGTTTTTTTGATGGGACCAGAAACTGAGCCTTGTGTTCTACAGGCTGTGTATTTCAAACATCCCTCAACAGTTGAAATCAAAAAAGAGAAGGCCATTGCTGCTGTCCGGGCAAAATTTCAGCCCTCAAGTGCTGAACAGAAGGATATAAAACTCTCTCATATTGTTCAGTACTAAATATCATTTCCCCCATTGTGCACTGAACAGCATTATTTTTTTATTAGTCCAATGAGATATTTTGCAAAATTTTGAATGATATTTGATGGTGTTACAGAGAGTTCGTGAGAACTGGTATGAGAAACTACATGAATGGGATCATGCCCTTAAAGCCTATGAAGAGAAAGAAAAACTACACCCAGATGAAGATTCTATCCTTTTGGGCAAAATGAGATGTCTGGAGGCTCTAGGACAATGGTGAGTTTGAATTTGATGGTGCAGGATCCCGAAAAACACCCTTATTTTGGAACTGAACTCATCTAAATGACCATGACACTGTATGATATTGATAGGAAATGCACATGTGGGAGAGTCCATTATTATTTGAAGGGTGTCATATTGATGACTGGTACATTATTTACTGCCAGGAATGATGAAATGAAATTTTTGTGTCCTACTTTTCTGCACCTGATTTGGTCAATGAAGACTTGTGATGCCATACAGTGTGCAAAACGAGGATTTCAGAATGTCGCATATATACTCTGAAAGTGTCCCATTCAAATGAGATGTTTTGATATTATTTTCCAGGGGTAATCTGCATTCTCTAGCTTGTGATAAATGGTCTACAGCCAATGATACATGTAGAACTAAAATGGCCAGGATGGCTTCAGCTTCTGCTTGGGGTTTAGGTTAGTATTTGTGCTTAAATCATGATTTCTGTGGTCCAAAGCCTTTCCTATCGAAGCTGTGAGATTACCAAAACAAAACTGACAGATGTAAAATGCTTGAAAAATGAGTGCATTCTAAAACTTTATTTTGGACTGAAATTTGAGATGTCAAAAAATATGCGATATTATCATTCAATGTTGTGGTGTCTGCGTTTTGCCAACTTTTTTTCTGACAGGGGCGCTGTTTCATTTACAATTACAAGATGTACTGTCAAGGTACAAATAGGTGTGCGTTATATTCACAATTATATAGTATATGTTTGATATTTATATTGACTATTATTTAGGTAATTGGAATAGTATGGAACAGTATATGTGTTTAATACCAAGAACTAGTTATGATGGAGCTTTTTACAGGGCTGTATTCGCTCTTCATTCTGATGATTTTAAACAGGCACAACAGGTTAGTTTTATAGAATATTAGACTAGAGCTCATCTCATGCTGTCACTTAGGGGGTAGGGGTAGCTCAAAGACTTGGACTCTTACTTCCTTATCAAAGTTATATTTCAATTGGATTTCCTGGTTTGCTGGAACTTATCTCATGCTGCTGTTGGGTGCGGCAATGACTGACTTAGTTGGACATTTGCTGTCCAACTGTAAGCCCAGGGATCAATCCTGGCAACAATCTTGCTGCTCCTTCTGCTAAGGGTGCAAGTCAGAGGAGCTGATATGGAAAAAGCATCTTGGGTATGGTTGGGTGAAATAAACCTAGGCCCTGTGTGCTACAGGCTGTGCATGTTAAAGATCCACCGACAGCTGGAAATTGAAAAAGAGAAAGTTATTGTGGCTATCCGGACAAAATTTCTCTCATTGCACACTGCATGGTGTTGCCTGTCTTTATAAGCCCAAACTGGAGCAGAAAAATTGGATATGAAACTCCATTTCATTTACTTATTTTGTATTAATTTAGTGTATTGATAAAGCTAGAGATATATTGGACACTGAATTAACAGCTATGATTGGTGAGAGCTACAACCGAGCTTATGGGGTAAGAATTCATTCAAGCCAATCAAAATCACTGTTATATGTACATGTGGGATGAAGAATGAATATTGAAATATCCCCATATTCCAGCAATAATGATGAACACTTTATTTTACTTGGGTCAGAATTAAATCCTTTGCACCAAAATGAACAAACATTAATCCAATTGGAACAAACAAAAATGAAATGTATCGTATGAACACAACAAATAAAACTTTTGAACATTTGATTGGTTGAAATTTTAAGTATCTTGGAACTCATGCTGCATAAAAATTTCTTCAGATCTTAGTTGTCAAGTGTAGTAGCCTGCAGTAGAAACAAATAAGGAAACATTTTGATGGGAACTTTAGTTAGAGTGTTTTATTATTTGTCTAGGCAATGGTGAATGTACAGATGTTAGCTGAATTAGAAGAGATCATACAATATAAACTAGTACCAGAGAGACGAGAAGCTATTAGATTAAACTGGTGGAATAGACTCAAGGTCATTCATTCATTCATTCATTCATTCATTCATTCGGCTGCCATTTACACCTAGGCTTACACAGAAAAGAGGCTCAATAAACCAAGGCCATTGTGATACAGATTATGCACATTAAAGATCTCTCCACAGCTGGAAATGAAAAATAATTAGGGTAGTGCTGATAAGATGTCCCTCATTGCCCACTGCATCCCTCAAGTAAAGAAGATGAAGACATAGTAATCTCCCATTTCTATAGTCAACCTTATATGTTATTGCTCTCATTTTGAATTTTATTGGTTTGCCAAGTTTTTTTCCCCATTCAAAGTAAGGCATAAAAATCTATCACTTATGGAATTGGCCTGACAATAACTTACCTCATTGCATACTCTACATCATTACCCATCTTACGAAGATGAAAAGGATGTAAAACTCCATTATATTTCGTTACTATTCCAGGGTTGTCAACAGAATGTAGAAGACTGGCAGAAAATATTACAAGTGAGATCCTTGGTTATTTCACCATCAGAAGATAGAATGACTTGGTTGAAATATGCCAGTCTCTGTCGTAAAAACAGTCGTATGGTGAGAAACTTTTGTTCTGTCCACTTTTCTTGACTTCTTCTAGAAAAACCACTGCATATTCAGCAAAACTTGTGAAT